CTCTCTCTCTCTCTCTCTCTCTCTCTCTTTCTCTCTCCGTATTTCCCTTCCCTCCATTATAAGAATAAGTTTGCTTAATTCTCTGTTCTCTACTATCAGAAATACCGTCTTGTAGTCCGCCAAAGCCCCAAGAAAAAGAAGTATAAAATATAAACAGCACCCATATTTTCTCTGTCTCATGCACACGTTACATAAATTGGCAGATTGATCCTTTTGTCTATTTGCCTTTGCTTCTGTCTGTCGTTTGTAAGCTTGTGGCTTGATAGGCCTGTCTCGAATTTTCTTTCAGCCGAAGATCAATTTCCCTCCTTATTTGTCGTGTACCAGGCACGCTGAGATTTGATCGGCTGGTCTTTTCTACGTATGTTTCAAAACTAATGGTATATACCTCTCTCTTTTTCTCTCTGATCTCACCTTACCTATCTTATCTATTCGTTCAGGTTATTGCTTTTGTGCGAACCGAGTGTGCCCTCCTCATTTTCCCTCTGTACCGTTTCTTTTCTTACTACAAGTCTTTATTATCGATGTTCTCAAGGTTCTAAGAAGGGTGGAAGGGGTAGCTTATGTTTGTAAGCCGGCTTTTTTTCGTATCGATTTTGATCTTTGAACAACTTACTGTGCCTTGATTTAAAACATTAAAAAAACCTTTCTGTCTCTGTAAGTGTGGTGGATTTTTGTGCGAACTAATCTGTGATTCAAAAGTGATAACTAGACTACTAGGTCTACAACAAAAATATTTATATGCTTTTCATTGCCAAATGTTCATTTCGCTCTATCCATCTTCTTATTACACTCAAAAGATCTCTTAAAATTAATTCAATTTAACTTCTAACCGTACAGACCTTTATAAAAGTCAAAGCAGTCGTTAAGCCTCTGGCTTTGCGACAGCTGTGCCTGGAAAGTTACATAATGAGTGTCTACATACTTTGATGGTACAGGCTGGGTTTTACTGTTTGATCAGAGGGTTTCAACTTAGTACTTAGACATATTTACGTAGTAGCAGGCAGTCGCAGCTTTGGCCAAAAGAGATAAAGGTGCTTGTTCCCTAGCCGTTTTTCGTCACTTATTGATTGCTAGTCAAGGGTTGCGCGTAGTGCGGTCTCT